CCATTTTGACCACGTTGACTCAGAAGCTAAACCGAGACCGAAATAAACATCACTCACACATTCTTGTTTCTTCCTAATTTCTTTTATAAAATAAATTAGTTAAATATTAAACGAATTAGTTAAATATTAACATAACCTGATATACTTTATAATATTACAAAGTTTAAGAATAAAGTGTAGATTTAAGGATAACAAATCCGTGATCGCAAAATGGCGGCTGAATGGCGTCCGCGAAAGAGTTAATCTAGCTTATAGTAAAATCGATCACGGTAATTTTATTAAAACCGGCTGTCAGAAGCGCCATTGTTACGATGGAACAATCGACGATATTCTATACTCGATCCTGAACGGCCGCTTACCGGATGGGAAATCGATGGCGTTCGAAACTTTCGACGGGTTCCCGATTGTCGGTGATCGCCAGGATTGAAATTCGAAAGAAATTGAATTAACTGCGAGATGCGTCTCCCGAAACACCTCGAAATACACGAATTACAAGCTGCGTTCGAAACTTCGGAACAAGTCGGTGGACATTTCGCGAGAAACTCCGATTGGATATTCGTTTTAGATAGACGTATCGCTCTCAAAGAACGGAGAAAGAAATCGAAGATTTTGTTACGGTGTTTTTTTATCGCGAGTTCGAAGAATGTGCAAACTTTCGAATGACGTAATAACGCGGACTCGTGCAGGAAGAAAGAATCGAATTTCCAATTACGGAAAGCTTTTTTAGCGAGATCTTTGGCGAACTTTTTAAATTGAAGACCTTTATTTCGTATCCTGCGCGTTGCTGCTTAAACACGAACGTTATGAAAGTTTTTGAATCAGAACATTTTTGTTTTTAGAGGAACATGCGTGTTTTATTAATACTATTCGTGGAGAACAATGACTGCTTTGTTATGGCCTTTAATAAGTCACCATACTTTTTCGCATATTCCAATTTAGTAAAATTAAGTGTACGTTTGAAATACCATGCTTTTTAAATTTTATAAAAATTGTAAAAGTATTTTAATTAAATTTTTTACAGAATTTTTAATATTTTTTCATGTTTGTATTTTATCAAGAATTAAACAATTTTTGCAATTTTTGTTTTGCATCTAATTTTTAATTTTTACAAATTCATGTTACAATTCTGTGTTTAAAAATTTTGTACTTAATTTAAAATTTTTATTTTTTGAAGAATTTTTAAAATTCTTTCATTTTGGTATTATATCAAGAATTAAATAATTTTTGCAATTTTTGTCTTGCATCAAATTTTTAATTTTTACAAATTCATGTTATAATTCTGTATTAAAAAATTTTGTATTTAATATACAATTTTTATCTGTCCTATAATTCTGAATTTTTTCAAAATTGTGTTATGTGAATTTTTGTATGTTTCCATAACATGTAATGTGAAGCACGTATTAAGTTCCCATATTCCCAAAGATTTAGTAAACCAAAACGACCATTTTGTTATTATAGCTTATTAAGAGCACCATAAAGTTCCTATATCCTGCCAATATTAAGTGTTCCAAAGCGATAAACCGAAGGGATATGGACAAAAGCAAAATACGTGATCCTTGTTAAACCTTCACGATTTTCCATCATCGGTTTTACGATCAGAGAAAACATAAACTACCAGCTACAGCTTTGATAAATACGAAAATTCCGTTATTTGATTATCTTCTGCTTCAACACGTGTAACATAGTTTATACCAGTACACGTGAATAATAACGAAACTTTTGTACAAAACTTTTATACTAAGTGCAATAACATTTTTTATTCTATTTTGAGATTCTGCGGTGAATTTTTTAGGTGGATTAAAACTTTGGTAATTATTATGACGTTGAAGGGAAATGAAAGTTTAACAGATTTTTTATTAATATTAATAGCTTCTTTGTTACTTTTTATGATCTATCAAATATTTTGCTGATGTATTTATTTCAGGATTCTTTGTTGAAAGATGATTTATTTAGCAAAAATATTTTTTACGAAATTAGTTTAGTATTTTAATATTTTATTTTCAGAAACGATTTACTTTAGAAAATTATGTTGTCAAGTTTATTAAAATTTTGAAGATTTTGGATACAAATAATTTCAATTTTAATTTAACTCAAACTTAAATTTTATTTGATACAGTAAGGAAAAATTCATTATGAATATTTTTAAAAATATATATTTCGGTGTTATACATTGGTTTTCAAACAAAGAATAAACTCGAATGACAAAAGGCTGGGTGCAAATCTACATAATTGATTTTATCAAATTAAAGAATGTCAATGTAGATATATGAGGACGCAATTTTGCTCATCGATCATGGGACGTCGAAATGACATCTGAATACGAATGACAACGAATCAAAATCGTTGAACATAAATCCTAGGTGCATGTCAATCGATGTATAAAAGCTTTGCATACAGTTTTGTAGTGCAATATAGAAGAATCCAATATTCTCAATACCCGTGGGAATCATACGTGGATTCTTCCGGGGATGTAAATCTAATAGGAGGAATACAGATGAAATCCAAACTATTTACTGGAAATGTATTCTTCTTTAACTCTTCTTTACTTCGATTTTAAACGACACATAGCTATTTATTATTATTGATAACTTTTTGACTTGCTGGAATTTTTTTTAATTTTCATTCTATATTATAAAATATTATTCCTATAATATTATTAATACGATAGCTGTATTATTCATGTTGCTATTAAATATAATAGTAATAGCATTATTATTGATGAATGTACTTCAGAAATATTAAATAAAATAATACTAAATGTTGTATGAAATATATTTTAAGATAATTAACAATATTTAAATTTAGTACAGTCAGAATTTGAGATAGAATTTGCTTCAAATATTTTTAATAATAAATATAGTATAAATTAAACTAGTAAAGCATATGTACATATGTTTGAACATATGAAAACACATATTCAAATTTTCTTAGATTTTCCCTGCAAAGTGTTTCATTAATATTCTCAGAAAAAACAGAATTACAATTATCCATGACGCAAGAAGAGTTTTTCCTCGTGCAGAAAAATGATTACTATCGAACTCACGTTTTTAATTTGCAGGTAAAAGAGAGCGTGAAACATTCCACCGTAATCGAGCGTGTGCATGTACTCGTATTTCGGTACGCACGAGTTTTCCGTTATTATCTTTACCGTATTCGCATATTGTAAATTATGACGAAACGCAAATCGTAGTATGAATCATCATCGTTACCGCAGTACCACGTCAGCGCGGTAAATTTTCAGGGGTCAAAAATAATTTCGAATTCCACGAATGAACCGAAAAGAAAACAACAACAATACTTTTTGATCTCGTTATTTACTCGCTTATCAACTTACGACGTCTTCGATTCGCGTAATAATCGATTACGATGCTTCGACGAGTCCTTATCGTTACTCAAGGATTTAGATTGTGTTATTTATAGGCATTTCTCTCTTGTGGGCGCTAAAAATATCGATCTGATTAATTGGACTAATCTATAATTTAACAAACGTGCTAAATGTCGCATGATTCTAACACCTTTTACTTCAAAATTGGATTAGATTTTTCAGTGGTGGAGCAGTTAGGTAGGAACAATTATAGTTTAATTATTTGAGAGGGACTATACATTGAAAAATTAGTTAAATTTTTTTTGTTATTTTGCAATTTGTTTTGGAAACAATTACAGTTATTTTCTTTGATATTTTAGAACCTAGGATCTAAAATTTCCTGTAATTTTTTTAAGATTGTGACATTTACCCTACAACATATTCCCCCAGAAAATATACCCCAGTCCTCAAAACTTTAAAGTTCTGATTCTCCGCTTTCTTCCATTTGAAATTTAAATTACGGACTGTTTGGTTTTCAACAAAGTTGTAATTTTTTAAGCTAGCTCACTGTAAATACAATTACTTCATCGTTCCTCATCATTTATGATATGATAATAAGTTTGGTGGAAGTTCAACGTGCTATATCAGCAAGTTATGTAATAACAGGGTCCGTTCCACCATTTCTAATTAATTAACCAAAGAATTCCCAATAACATGGATGATGATGAAATATGGGATTCAAGCGTCAGACACATATGCGTGACTTGGCAGTCAACGCGTTGAGGGTTGAAATGCCAATCATTGTAAAGCGTATTCTGCCTGACAGCTAATGCGATTTTTATCCTCTGCATTATCACTTTTTTTAATATATTTTAATACACAATATCAACTCGGTGAAATGAAAAAAATTATGGTTGCTCCAGAATGAAGAACTATAATAAACCTTTATATTCTGTTAAATTAAGAACATCGTAAAAAAATGTAGAAATGAAAATATTTTATTTATATTAAAAGTTTGTAACATTGTCTGACAGTAAAAGAAGAGAATGAGTGGTACTCAAATTTGATGCACATTAAAATATTAATGAAAATTTTGTTAATACTTTATGTTCAATTTTGCGAGTTTACAAAACATTGGAAGTACAAACAAAAACTTGTAAAAAATATTACTTTAATTACTGTGTATAGTATTATATGTTTGCAACATTGTATGAAAGTTGAATGAAACACTATAATAACAAAAGACGAGAAATTTTAGATAATTCCATCAAACTTCTACTGAACTTCTACAGCATTTTACCTTTAATATTTAAAACAACTTGCACAAAATTTGACAACAAATAAATTTCACCCGTTTAAAAAAGAAACTTAATAAATAAACTATGACAGTACATAATGTAATAAAATCTATAAGAAATTTAACCAAAATTTGCTACATCTAATAACAAAATTCAATTAGAACACTATAATATAAAATATCAAGTATACTATAATAAAAAAATCTACATGAACCTGTCCAACAAAAAATAAATTTCACATACGTAAAAGAACCTTTCAAAACTACAGTACAATAAAAAACCGTCCCACAATTATACGAATAAAAAAAGTACATACTCGCAGCACTCTCATGATCACTGACACGATTTCTTGCCGACAAAAATCGCACAGAAAAAACCAAAAAGGATTAAGCACTTACTTTACGAGGATGACGTTTGTACGTGCGGTCGAACAGCTTGTTGGTCACGAAATAAAAGCTTTCCCTCCGATGGAGTCGCGATTTAACTCGAAAAAAGCAATTCGCAGTGTTTAAACCGTGATCGCAGCGAACGGAGAACCTTTCTCAGCTTATCGAGGGGTGATCCTGACGTAGCAACTTCCGGTCCTTTGTCAACGCCGCTTTTCACGAGACGGCCCGAAGGATGGAGACGTTGTCGGAGAGTGTTTTAGTCGATTACGATTTTCCTTTCGATGTGGAGGATAACCGAGCTGTTTCGTCCACGGATAACAGGTGGCACGCCGGAGTTCCTCACGGTGCAGAGTATTAACGACGTGTGACGTCGACGGCTCGGTGCGAGAGGGCTTTTATAGCCGGCCGACTCGACTCGACTACGCTCGACACCGCTTCCCACAGAACAGCTCTTGACCCCACAAACCGATTTCTCCCCGTACCTAAGCATCGTTCACCTAACTATTGTTTCCTTCGATACGTCCCTATGCATTTTCCAACCCCTTTTTTGTACTTCCACCACAAGCTGCTAAGGTGACACGTGTCAAACTTCGTTAATTGCTTTCGTGTGACGTGTGTGGATTTGAGAAATTCAAGAATTTTTTTTTGAAATTGGAAAAATTTAGAACTTTAAGAGTTGAGAAATTGGAGACATTTTAGACTTGAAGAGTGGAAAAGATTTAAAACTTGAAGAGTTGGAAAATTGGATAAATTTGAGACTTGAAGAGTTGAAACATTTAAGAAATTTGAAACTTGGGTTCGAGACTTCCCTATGCATTTTCCAACCCCTTTTTTTTACTTCGACCACAAGCTGCTAAGGTGACACATGTCAAACTTCGTTAATTGCTTTCGTGTGACGTGTGTGGACGCTTTATGGAATTTCAAAATTCCTTTTCAAGAGTTGGAAAATTGCAAAAATTTGAGACTTGAAGAGCACAGAAATTGGAGACATTTCAGACTTGATGAATAGGAGAAATTTGAAACTTGAAGAGTTTTAAAATTGGAAAAATTTGAAACTTCAAGAATTCAGAAATTAGAGACATTTCAGACTTGATGAGTGGAAGAAATTTGAAACTTGAAGAGTTTTAAAATTGGAAAAATTTGAAATTTGAAGAGCACAGAAATTGGAGACATTTGAGACATGAAGAGTGGGAGGAATTTCAAACTTGAAGAGTTTGAAAATTGGAGAAATTTGAAACGTGAGTTCGACACGTGTTATGCATTTTCCAACTCCTTTTTTTACTTCGACTACTCGCTGCTAAGGTGACAGATGTCAAACTTCGTTAATTGCTTTCGTATGTAAAATTCAAGAATTTTTTTTGAAGAGTTGCAAAATTGGGACTTGAAGAGTCCAGAAATTGGAGACACTTCAGACTTGATGAGTGGAAAAAATTTGAAATTTGCAGAGTTTGAAAGTTGGAGAAATTTGAAACTTCAAGAGTTGAGAAATTGGAGACATTTAAGACTTGAAGAGTGGGAGGAATTTGAAACTTGAAGAGTTGGATAATTGGAAAAATTCGAGACTTGAAGAGTTGAGAAATTTTTGAGACGTGAGAGTTGAGTTAAAAAATTGAAGAGATTTGAAACTTGATAAATTGTGAAATTAAAGAAATTTGGAACTCAAAGAATTTAAAAATTGGAGAAATTTGGAACTTGAAGAGTTGTGAAATTGGAAAAATTTGAAACTTGAAGAGTTAAAAAATTGAAGAGATTTGAAACTTGATAAGTTGTGAAATTAAAGAAATTTGGAACTCAAAGAGTTAAAAAATTGAAATCTAGAACTTGAAGAAATTTGAAATTAAAACTCCTGAAATTTGAGATTTAAATATTTGAAAATTTTAATACCTTAAAGTACACGTTTCTTCACTTCCCTCCATTCTAACCTAATTCATTTAAATTCTAACTCTGACACATAAAATAATATTAAAATATAATTCACAATAATACCTCTTTCTTCACCACTTTTTAATTACACCTAAAACATAAAATGTTTTAAACATAAAATGGTTATCATTTCAAATATTATTATTATTATTAATACTTCTATTTATTCGAGAAAATTGAGGTTATATAAACCGTAACGCAATAAAGATAGTACAAAAATGAAACAATAGAATTTTGATACGGTTAATTAAAACGTACCAAAGGGAAATGAAATTAAATGTTATTTTATGTTCAGAATATAGGACAATTTTAGTAACCAAAATTACACTCTACATTGAAGATTAATATTATTCTCAAAAATTCGCAATGAAAGAAGTAACCCCACGTTTTACTGAAATAAACAAATAAAAGAATGTAACATTGTTACGTTGAATGTTCCTTTGTAGTTATATCAGGACCTCCATCATCCTCCAATAATTTCAGGTCTGACTTTTCTCCATCGAACTTTCAATATACTCGGCCGTTTTTTGTGCCGAAATAAATTGCTTCAAAACGAAGGAATTCGATTGAATATAATTGAAAAAAAACTTGTAAATTGCTATTTCGTTTTATAAAGCACCTTCCCTTTTACTACCCCATAAACACAAAATATTTGGTATAAAATAAAATATAAGATGTATGTACTTATCTCACCTCTTTTTATGATTTTTACCTCAGATTACTTATTTAAATAAAAATTTAATGAGTATGTTTTATTGAATTTGTAAACATAGATACATGTCACACATGAATTATTTACAAAAGATATTGAAAAATAAAAAGTTGCAGCTATCTAGGTTAATCTTCCAAAGCATGATGTACCATTTGTAACGCAAACCAAATTTCATTTATCTTTCATGGTATACACGCATCATAACTCTCTGCGTGTTGTACCATATTTGATACACTAGGGTACTATGATTTTTAAACTCAATTTACCACGTGTGCAATTTGTTTACATCAATTAGTTTGCAGGTTTTCAAAAGTCGAAGATAAATTCCCTGGAAACAAGTGACATGTTTTAATATCTGTGCTATCACGTGTTTAAAGGTGAAAGGTTGATTCGAATTTGTGGTTCTGGGTTCCTAAATTTCTGGGCCTTCAAGCTTTCAAATATCATTTTTAAGTTGGCAAGTATTCGAATCAACAAATTTTTTAATTTTTGGGAACTCAAATTTTTCAAATTGTCAAATTTCTAAATTTCCAAATACCAAAATTTCGAATTCCAAAACTTCGAATTCCGAAATTTCCAAATTCCAAAATTCCGAATTCCAAAATTTCGAATTCCAAAACTTCCAAATTTCAAAATTTCGAATTCCAAAATTTCCGAATTCCAAATTTTCCAAATTCCAAATTTTCCAAATTCTAAAATTCCGAATTCCAAAATTCTGAATTCCAAAATTTCCAAATTCTAAAATTCTGAATTCCAAAGTTCCGAATTCCAAAACTTCCAAATTCCAAAATTTCCAAATTCCAAATTTTCCAAATTCCAAATTTTCCAAATTCCAAA